GGGTTCGTCTCCCCGGCGTCGTGGGAGGGGGGTGGGGGCTGGTGGGTCAGAGCAGGGGGGGCTGGGAGCCAGGACTCCAGGGTTCTCTCCCAGTTTGGGGAGAGGGGTCTAGTAGCTTAATTATCACCTTCTTTGCCCCAAAGTTAAGGGCCAACCGGTGTTTGTGGATCTCTCTAGGGATCCCCGGCTCCCTGCGCCCCCCCCCAGGTTCCCCATTCTCTGGGCCCTACCCCCCACTTCCCCGTGCTCACCATTCCGGTCCAAAATTGAGCGTCTCGGCGGCCATCGCCCTCTGCGTGTGCGTTAGGTTTAGCTTCTGTTGTCCTATGACCTGGATGGCGAGGAAGGAAACCGGGTGATGAAAGGTGGGGCGCCCCCATCCCGTCGCTCTGGGCTCCCTGACCCCTGCCCCGACCTCTCACAGCCCCCCACCCCCCTTCCTTACCTGCTGGCTACAGCCCCACGCCCCTCACTGTAGGAGGCTCGGCCCACGGCGCTGAACCTGCAGCCAGGAGACAGAACCCGAGGGGCGCAGGGTTAGGATCAAGGACTATCCCCCCGCCCCCACTGTCTCCCCCTCCCCAGGCCTTACCAGTGCAGATCAACTGTGGGTGGGGGCTCAGAAGGGGTGGGGGCTCAGAAGGGGTGAGCCCTCCCCCCCCCGCAGGAGGGGGAGTGCTGGAGGGGAAAAGGTAGGGGGGGCTGTCAGCCACTCCCCATTGGCCCCCCAAAACACTGCTTCATTTCAGACATCTACATTACATAAGGGATAAATAATTCTAGCCCATCCCCCCACTCCCCAACATTACCCCCCAAATCCTCCATATGCCTTCCCCGGGAACCAACTCCACAGTCTAGGCGAATGGAGGGGGCGGGGGAGTTGGGAGCCAGGACTCCTGGGTTCTCTCCCCAGCGCTGGGAGGGGAGTGGGGGCTGGTGGGTCAGAGCAGGGGCGGCTGGGAGCCAGGACTCCTGGGATCTCTCCCCAGCCATCAAAGTGTTTCTCACCCAGACGGCAGCGGCTTGTGGGTCCGAGCGCGCTGGGGGCGGGGGGATTTCCGAGGGTGGGGAGATCTGCGGGCGCCCGTCTGGCCGGGTCGCTAGCTGAGCACGGGTGCTGATGAGGCTGCTGGGCCTTTCTCCCCCCACGCCGGAGTCGGAAGCCGGATTCACATTGGGAAGAGCTGCTGGGGGGAAGAGAGGGGGAGCATTAGTCCACACGGTGACGGATTGGGAGAGAACTGGCTTCAGACCCCTGTACCCTGCAGAGCGTAGCCCCCAGCACGTGGGATGGAGGCGATTCTCCAGTCAGCAGTATAGGGTATAGGACACACAGGGGAGCAATTCCCATCCCAGCCACTGGAGGGCACAGGAACATAGAGCTTCCATAGTGCTGTCCTTTATGCAGGAAGTAAGGCAACGGGACTTTCCCCATCATCACCAATGGCTGGAGAGAGAACCCAGGAGTCCTGGCTCCCAGCCCCCCCTGCTCTAACCCACCAGCCCCCAAACCAGAACTGGGCCTGGAAGCCAGGACTCCTGAGTCCCTGCCACATGCTGATGCGGGTGCTGAGAGTTCCACAGGCTCTTTGGGACCAGAATGCCACGTCCGCCTCCCCCGGTGCCGTCAGAGACCCAGCTGGGCCCAGCCAGTCCAGCCTGGGGGGGGGGAGGGGAGGGGAGGTTGCATAACACTCATGTCAAGATTGTGAGAAACCACAAAGGGCAAAGCAGCCAATCCTCTGGTAGAGCCACCGCCGAGAGCTAACGGACAAATGCCAAACTGTGGGGCGCTTAGGCAGAGCCGGGGAGAGAACCCAGGAGTCCCGGCTCCCAGCCCCGCCCTGCTCTAACCACTACACTTTGCCCCACAACTCACAAACATCAGGTTCCTACCCCCTAGGCCAAGGCCTTTCGGAGGCAAAGCCCCCGGAGCGAGAACCCGACAGGAAACTGCCGCATCATTTCGAACCAGGGCGCCCCTCCCAACCACAGGCCTGGGGAGGCGATTTACCAGCCGGGGGGGTTGTAACCCAGCCAGGCATTTGTGATACTTCGGCAAGGGGCCCCACCCCGGCCGAGAGCAAGGGATCTGCATTATTCCAGGCACCACGCAGACCAAAACAGAGAGAAGAAGCCTGCCTTTGCCTCCTTTGACTTGGGGCAGGGTCTGTATCTCGCCGTGTGTCTGGGCAGCACCTGGCACGACGGGCCCTGATCTCAGCTGGGGCAGGGTCTGTCTCTCGCCGTGTGTCTGGGCAGCCCCTGGCACGACGGGCCCTGATCTCAGCTGGGGCAGGGTCTGTCTCTCGCCGTGTGTCTGGACTGCGCCCGGCACAACGGGGCCCTTAACGAGACGCGATATATCGATCCCGGATAAATCGATTGCTACCCGCCGATACAGCAGGTAGTGAAGACGTACCCTCGGACTTGTCAACCCAAAGCCAGCGGTGTTCTGACTCTTTCCAGGAAGCTATTCTCCCCGGCACGCTGAAGTTACCCATGCTCAGCTCCCTCTCATCCAGCCCCAAAAGCCCCCTCTGACTTTTACTCATGTTTAACAAACAGATTGTAATCTCTTGGGGGCAGGGACCTGGCACAATCGGGGCCACAGTCCGTGACATTAGCTGTGATACAGACACCAGAAACTTATCACAGTTAGAGGTCGGACCGGCTCCTTCTACAAAACGTGAAGACAGATACCCCCATCATCCCTCCCCGGCTCCAACCACCAGCCCCCACTCCCCTCCCAGAGCCGGGGAAGAGAACCCAGGGGTCCTGGCTCCCAGCCCCCCCTGCTCTAACCCACCAGCCCCCACTCCCCTCCCAGAGCCGGGGAAGAGAACCCAGGAGTCCTGGCTCCCAGCCCCCCCTGCTCTAACCCACCAGCCCCCACTCCCCTCCCAGAGCCGGGGAAGAGAACCCAGG